TGATTCTGGTTCAAGTGTGTCGTTAGTGCATTCTAAATTGTTGCCTAATTTGACAGAGCGACCTCCTCTAGAGTCTGCTCCGCGGTTGTGTGCAGTCAATGGCGCACAACTTCCTGTCGTTGGATCCATGGATCTGTGTATGTCGCTAGGAAATTTGTCTTTCCAGCACACAGTTGTAGTCTCCTCCTGGTATTCACTGTGACATGATTCTTGGTTCCGATTTTTTGTTGCAGCATGGTAGTGTATTAGATATTGCTCGTGGTGTTGTGATGTTTGGCGATGTGTCTGTTCCGTTGCACGTTTCTGGTTCTGGGTGTCCTCCGTCACGTACGCCCTATGATCGTATTGTTCCGCGTAATACTTCCTCCTCATGATTGTTATACTCATACTCCTCATTCTGATGCATGCTCCGACGATGTACCTGTTTCGTCGTATTCTTCTCGTGTTGCCCTTGACGATTCATTGTCTGCACGGGTTGTTGAACCCATGGCTCAACCTGGCGTTGTCCCGGCGTGTGCGCCCGAAAGTGTGGCCGACCCTGTGGTATACTCATCTCGTGTGGTGTTTGAGATGGAGTTGTCGGTACCTGCAGGACATGTTGTCTTGGTGCCTTGTGCAGCTGTTGATGTGTGCACGGTTGCGATGGATTGCGTGGCAGATCCATTGGAGTCCTTTATGGCGAAGCATCCAGATGTGGCAGTGACTCCTAGTCTTGTGACTGTTGGCCCTAACCAAACACGTGTGGTTGTGGCTGTTGAAAATCATGCAAATCATCCTATACTCATTCATAAAAATACCAATGTTGCCGAACTTCATCAAATTCCTACAGACTGTGAACATATTGACGACACTGAGGCTATGGTTTCCTCAGTTTCACCCAGCACGATTCCGCTAACTGAGCAACGTAAGAAAGTCATCGATGAATATATCAACGCACAAAATCATCTCTCCACAGAACAGTCTCGCATGCTCACTGAACTACTTCATGATAACCACGATTTATTTATCTTGCATGATGATGACTATGGCTACTGTGACATATTCCCTCATAAAATTAACACAGGACAAAATAACCCTATAAAACAACCTACCAGGTGGATTCCATATCACCGCCGGAAGGCTCTGCAAGATCTACTGAATACGCTGTTGAAGCAAGGCATTATACAAGAATCGATTAGTCCGTGGGCATCACCCATAGTATTGGTGCCAAAGAAGGATGGCTCTCTTCGACTCTGTATCGACTACAGGAAGTTGAACTCTGTCACCGAACCTGACGCCTACCCGATTCCCCGGGCGGATGACATGCTTGATTCCCTGTCTGGCTGTCGGTATTTCACGTCCCTTGACTTAGCGTCAGGATACTGGCAAATAGCAATGGAAGGAAGCGACAAGGCTAAGACGGCATTTACCACGCCACTGGGCTTGTTTGAGTTTAATGTTCTGCCGATGGGCTGCAGGAATGGCCTAGCGACATTTCAGCGTGTGATGGAAGCAGTCCTGAGTGGCTTATGTAACACACCGGCCCAGCCATTCTGCCGTGTGTTCTTTGATGATGTCCTGAATGCCAGCGAAACGCTGTCTGGCCAACTCCAGATTCTGCTGCCCGTGTTCGCGCGAGTTCGGTCCGCTGGACTGCGGTTCAATCTGAAGAAATGCTCCTTCTTCCAGGAGGAGGTCACTTTCTTAGGACACCGCGTGTCAGCTGAGGGCATCTCCCCGGATGAAGCCAAGCTCGTCGCGGTCAGGAACTGGAAGACTCCGAAATCTGTCACAGCTGTCCGCGAGTTCCTTGGCTTCGCTGGATATTATCGCCGCTTCATCCGTGGGTTCGCCCAGCGTGCTGCTCCGCTGACTGCTCTGACAGGCAAGAATGCTCGCTTTGCGTGGTCGAAAGCTTGCGAAGCGGCGTTCCAGGCTCTGAAGCGTTCGCTTGGCAGTGCGCCGGTGATGGCGTACCCCCAGTTTGAAGATTCAGCAGGTGCATTCATTCTGGACACCGATGCGAGCAATGTGTCGATTGGTGCAGTCCTCAGCCAGATCCAGGATGGAACTGAGCGACCAATTGGATACGGCAGCCGTGTACTGACGAAAGCTGAGCGCAACTACGATGCTAGCGATCGTGAGGCCCTTGCTCTGGTCTATTTTGCGGAGTATTTCAGGCACTACTTGTTGGCACGACCATTTGTTGCCAGGACGGACAATACTGCGTTGACTGCACTCCAGAACCTGAAGGAACCCCGCGGACGGAAAGCACGTTGGCTTGACTGTTTATCCGAATATGAATTCAGAGTCGTCCACCGTCCCGGTCGCCAACATCTGAATGCTGATGGTCTGTCGCGCTTGCTAGCCGAACCTGAAGCACATGTGCACAGTGAGTCTCTGCCACTGGCACCAACGCCGCCGCAAGATGCTGCCCTGTCTCCTCCGCCGAGTCCGCCGCCTCTTGCCCGTGATGTTCCGTTGTCAGCTGCTGATGAAATGCCACTCTCTGCTGATGTTCCTCCGGCTGCCGAGATTCTTCCTCGGGCCGTTTTTGTTCGTCCTCCTGGTGCCTCTGCCGCTGGACCGTTGCCGGATTGTTACAAGCCTCAGAGTCTTCTTGCTCCGTATGCTGATCCTGCTCTGTCTAAGTGTTTCACCCGATATGATGCTGCCAGTGGCAAGTTTGTTCGTCCGCCTGAAGCCGTTTCCCATCCTCCTGACTGTCAACCGCCTGCCGTTACTGCTTCTCGTCCTGACCCGATTACGCTGTCCGATGATGATTTTCCGCCGCTACAGCCGCCGTCGTCTGATCCGGTCCGTACTTCTTCTCCTGTTCCTCGTCGTTCTGGCCGTGTTCGCACTGCACCTGCTCGACTAGCTGACTATGTCCTGGACTGAGGTTATTATTTGGTTTGTTTTCTTTTGTTTGTTTCCTAGGTCTTTCGTTCATTCCCGTGGACGTGACTTTTAGCTAGGGGGGCACAGTGTAATAGGTGTATGTATGCTACGACCTGAATACTCACTATTCGTATTTCCCGCTCGCTCCCCTTGGCAATGAGCCACTCACATAGAACAGCGCATGCTCCAGGTTCTGTTCTGTTCTAGTCTAGTCTTAGTTGTCGTTGTCCTGTTCTCCTTCTGTCTACACTCTTATCAAATACGTCTATAATCCACTGATCATATAAAACCCCTGTGTTCCGGTGTGAGGGGGCATCATTAGCCGGGAGCAGCTAACAGTACTACCCAGGGCGCTAGGGCAAGGGCATGCCAAATATGTGGAGGGTGTTGTGAAGTGATGTGTTGTTTTCCTGTGTGATGGCATTCCCCAGACTGTCTCGTCTAGTAGCGTGCATGTGTGATATGAGCATGCACGATTTTGTAGTCGACAGTCCTTTTGTCAGTCTTCTTGTTCGTCCCTTTCAGTGTACAGTCAACTTCGCTAATAACGACTGCGGATATAACGACTATTCGCGAATAACGACAGAATTTCCATGCCCAGAGCAAAGTCCCATCCAACTGTAATACATATAAATGAGACTTCGGGTATAACGACACTTTGTGAATAACGACACTTTTCTGATGCCCCGCCGAGTGTCGTTATAAGCGAAGTTGACTGTAGTCTGCTTTTCCGTCAAGTCAAAATATAATAATCAAAAACAAACTAGTCTTGTCCTTTGTGTCCCGCGTCCCGGGGAACGGAATGGCTGTGATTCTGTAACAAGAGTGCGTACAGAAAGAATGCAGTGCAGGTATCGGCCCGTTTTATTCGCCTATTCGGCAAAAAAAATACTGCAGATTCGGCTGCAAATCCAGCTGGTTGTTCGAAAATCGGCTGCAAATTCAGCTGTTTGTTTGAAAATCGGTGAGATAATGGAAGATTTGGTAGATTTGCGGCAATTCTCAAAGGAACCCTCCAAAATCGGCGAAAAGCTTACGATATTTTGATAAGACTCATTTTCGGCGACTTTTTCGGGCCGCTGATTTGGGGATTTTGCTAATAACGATCTTCCTAAGGGGCCGTCTGTAAATAATTGTATTTACTTCGAGATGTCTAACAGGCATTTCTGGTGGGTGGGTTCGCCTGCGAGGCGTTTCTAAAAAATACATTTCGGAGTGTGTGCATACCATACAGCGCGTGTACATTTACATGATGTAGCACTGCTACAGCTAGTGCAGGTAGGCCTTGAGAGTCGAGACGAGCTAGCACTACATTGCACTGCAAGTGTCACGGCAGAGTAGACATAGGGACACATAACCGCCGGCTATAAACTTATATAAAACCGTCAATTTCGTATGGGTTCAAACAGGGACATGAACAAGGTTTCCCTATATCACGAAATTTGCTATTATGCGAGTTCGCTACGAGTGGAGTCGACTGTACTGTGTTCATTTATCAGTGTCTGCTCCAGCGCCGGGTGAGCCGGGTAATCCACGCGGGTGGGCGGCGCTTGGACCCGGTTGAAAATATAGTACCGGGTCACCTGTGACACTGTTGGTACTTTACACTTTCGAACTTTGAAAAGACTGACTACATGGCTTGTATGTGTCAGATACTTCTTCTTCTTTCGTAATTTTCTAATTCCTGTCCTCTCTTTTCTAAATACGGCTTATCTATTCGCCTTTATATCATTGACATTGGGCATAGTTTCCGTTTATTGTCCGGATTAAAATACACTAACCAAACAGTTAAAGCATGTGACTCGGCTGGTGAGACAGCGCCAGGTATTGTGTACCCGGCACCGACCCGGTTGAAATGGTTGCGCCAGGTACACGTGTACCCAGCTGTCCTACAATCCTAGAGCAAACACTGATGTATGTGTGCATAGTATGGTGTTTATTATGAGTGGCATTATCTGCATTTTAGGGGGTCATTGCTGGGGATGGGTGGGTGGGTCAAGAAAGAAACACCTGTCACATGTCTTTAAGTTAAAACATGTATTTACGGACGGCCCCTAATGGCTAATGGTTGTTTGGGAGGAGGTCAAAGGGCACGAGTCACACGACCTCAACGCACTGTACTGCAAGTACAACCACTGAAGTAGAGAGCTCTAGCGGTCATGCTTGCTGCAACATTATTCGTTCCTACACGCACTTTGCAACAACAACATTTGGTTGATATTCGGTGATTTTCAAAGGAACCTTCCAAAATCGGAGAAAAGCTTAGCTATTTTTGATAAGTCTCGTTTTCGGCGAGTTTTTCGGCCGGCCGATTTGGGGAAAGCCTAGCTAGGAGAGACAATCCCCAGATTGGTATAAATGTATTATTAATTTTTATAAAATGGGGAGGAACACTTCTCAGCTCTCTTTAACAAAGTGGTCAGGACATAGTGGTCCAACATACGCCTTGTTAATTACCTTAGTTTTCTCCGTTTCCACTTTCTTGCCAGTTAAGTGGTCAGCTAAACTTTTACGTAGCTCCTTGTATGCCTGATTGATTTTCTGTACACGTTTTCTGAATCAACAGCAGCACAGTTGGGCACAGTGAGAGTTAGACCACACAATGGTAGTATCCGGACCACCGTTCACCCCGTCGGCAACAGAACAGCGATGAGTTTGGCTAAACATTTAGAATTGTTGCGGGAAAGAACCCGGGCACTGCACAAAGCGGGGCGCTTGCCATGATTAATCACACCATCATAATCAACCTTCGGACACCACACACTGACACATGCAGCAGGATACTCTTCTTCAATTCAGTGAGTTGTCACCGGCATCGATTTCGACACAAAACCAGGAGCTTTGCACTTCATTTCAACCGTACAAAATTGCAACAAATGTATGAGTGACTACTGCTCTGCCCAACTGCAGCATGTCCTCGACAACCATCGGCAGCTGAGAACTTCTGTCCCGCCACTTCGACGTGTCGTTGTCGACCACATGTGAAGAAATCAGCAGTAATCGATAGTGATACTGGTAACATTAAACACAGCATGCATTGTGCTGTCGTTATTCATATTTTTAAAGGTAATTGGCTAGGCATACCGTTCTCGTTCCCTGTTCCATTTCAGCCTATACCGTTCGTTCTCCTCGAAAGAAGTAAGTGTTCCCTGAAACGTGTATGATGCCCAAACATGTACAAACACACACACACACACACACACACACACACACACACACACACACACACACACACACACACATACACACAGTCACACATGCACACAAACAGACAAACACACACACACACACACACCCACACACACACAAACACGCAGATACACACACATACAAACACACACACACACAAACACTCACACACACAAGAACACACACATACACACACAGTCACACACACCTTGGTCCTTGGTAACACTGCCATCAAATGGTCACGTGTCCCCTGTGCAGGGGTCGACAGCACTGAGTTCAGCATTGGATCCAGAAACGCCGCTCTACTTCCTGGACAGGAAATTAGCACAGCTATGCAGGTCGAAACCACGGGATGACTTGCAGCAGCGACCGCAGCCGAGACAATGCGCTCTGCAGCAGGGCAGGGCAACCCGCTGTTTCCGGACCAAGTCTGCCGATGCCACAGCCGAGACCGACGCCACTTCAGCAGCCGAATTGGAGAGACACTTATGCATAGCTAGCCCGCCAGCACTCAAGAACCATCCCCCGCACGCATTACATAGTCGGCTGCCGGACTGCTCAGATATGGGCTTCCTCCTCTCGGCCAGGCACTTGTGGCGATTCTTGTATTTCTGGTGGGCGAAAGTACGCTGGCAAACATCGCAGAGCACAGAAGTGTCACGCTGAGCACACACACACACCCACACACACAAACACACACACAAACACACACCCACACACACGCACCCACACACACACAAACACGCAGATACACACAAATACAAACACACACACCCACAAACACACACACACAAACACTCACACACACAAGAACACACACACCTATGTGTACAAGCACATACAAGTACATTGTACATGTACATGCACTTACAAACACACATGACTACACACATATATCCACACACACATGCGTGCAAAAGTACTGTATTTCACCGAATATAAAGTCACACATTTTTAAACTAAACTTCAGTTGAGCGTGACTGCTTAATGATGTGAATGAATTGAAACAACTTGGCTTAGACCCGAAAATGGGGATTCGACCTTTATTCGGAGATATGCGGTACACACACAAAAACACGCACCCATGCCCACAAAAATGTTCAGTATTCCTGAAACCGCTAGCCAGTCTGGTTGCGGAAAGGAATGCTGATCTGCACTATTCCGCTGTCATGAATCACCTGCACTGCAAGATTTCATTTTGCTCAACGCCATGGGCCCTCATGTTCTTCAGGGACACTCGAACATCCTCTTGCAGCAGGCGGATGCCCTTCGCAGCTGAATGCAGGCTCAGGGCTGGTCAGCAGTAACTTCTTGGTACCGCCCTTCTGCAGAAATTTGTAGTCACTGTCATAATAACAAGTCCCTATCACATTTAAATGCGTTGTCTTGTTCTTCCATTCTTGTTCTTACTTTCTACTAATTGTAATGAAAAGAATTGGTAGTCACAGTAGAAGTAGTGGGCTTGTGTAAACGTGTGCGTATGCGTGTGTATGTATGCGTATGCGTGTGCGTGGGTGGGTGGGTGCGTGCATGTGTGTGTGTGTGTGTGTGTGTGTGTGTGTGTGTGTGTGTGTGTGTGTGTGTGTGTGTGTGTGTGTGTGTGTGCATGCGTGCGTCTGTGTGTGTGTGTATGAGTATGTGTGTATGTGTTTCTGTGTACCATATTTCCCCGATTATAATTCGATTATAAGTCACCTTGTCCTCATTGGTCCTACCATAACCTTGAAGCTTCCAACCTGGAAGGCTATTGGTTTGCGCAAAGGAGGTGTTTCAGAGCTAGGTCTCCGGTTGTTGAATGTCTCAGTAACATGTCAGTTTTGTGGCCTGTTATTGCACTTTTTGACTGCTTCTCGTCTTGTTATAGTTGCGGATAGTTGCTCCAGAACTCCTTTCCATGTTGTTAGGTACCTTCTCCCGTACGTTCTACAACCTTTCCAAGCTGGCTTGCATGCACCCTCGTCCTCACCTTTTGTCTCCTTTTGTCACCTTTCATTCCGCTGGCCTGGGTAGCTACTTGCGCGCCCATATTTGCCATAGCAACCCAGGCCCTTTATCTTGTCGCCCTCACTTGATCTCTCTCTCTCTCTCTTCCATAATGTAGTCTTTCCGTTCGTCTTTGTCTCGGTCTCTTCGTCTACAATAAATGTCGTTCTACCTACCTATTCCCGTTGTCCGTTGTGTCTGGGGAGTACGACTCCTTTTCGTACTCAACAATGTGATTTCTTCTATTTTTAATTGAAGAATTTTAATATTCAATGGTTGGAGGGAAAGACGTCAACGGGAAAAGTCTGACGAAAATATTGACTGTCACCACCAGGACTCGAACCAGGGGCACTCCCTAGGCTTCGTTCGTAAACGCACATTGCAACAATATTTGGTTGATTTTCTGGGATTCTCAAAAGGAACCCTTCGAAATCAGCGAAAAGCTTAGCAATTTTTCGATAAGTCTCGTTTCGGCGAATTTTTCGGCCGGCCGATTTGGAGAAAGCCTAGCCCTCGCTTGAGTTACGATTATTATTACACGAATATTCCAAACTCGATTTTCAAATTCCACTCGTCAGTGGATGGTATCAGCACTGAGGGCAAGGTGTACGAAAAGAACATTAAAGGGGAAGTTAAGGCAAAAATCAAAATTTCACCAGTTGTAGTCTTCGGGGTGCTGAGTTGAATGGTCTTGGTCCGAGAAAGCTGAGACGCTCCCTTCCTACTTGAATCCCAATCGAACTCGCGCACTTCCACCGAAACTGGGTGACTGCGCCCTACGAGATGGGGATTTGTATGCAAAATGTCACTAAAAGCGCCATTTCGTTCTTATAAAAGCACAGATGACCGCGATTGGCCTATATGTTGTAGTCTTTTGGACGCTGAGTCGACTGGTTTTGGTCCGAAAAGGCTGCGATGCAGCGTTCCTCCTTTATTCCCAATCGAACATGGTTGAACAAGCGGTCACGTGCTCCTGCGTACACCAGTCACCTGGTCACCGTGCCTGCAGGGTACAACTTACAGCCTGTTTTGACCTTTTTTGGGTGCAGTCCTGTCACTCGAGTTGAACCTTGGTGTGAAAGTTGTCGCCTGCTGGCGTGGTGACCAGGTGATTTGGGCACCCAGGAGCACGTGACCGCTTCTTCAACCATGTTCGATTGGGAATAAAGGAGGAACGCTGCATCGCAGCTTTTTCGGACCAAAACCAGTCGACTCAGCGTCCAAAAGACTACAACATATGGGCCAATCGTGGTCATCCGTGCTTTTATAAGAACGAAATGGCGCTTTTAGTGACATTTTGCATACAAATCCCCATCTCGTAGGGCGCAGTCACCCAGTTTCGGTGGAAGTGCGCGAGTTCGATTGGGATTCAAGTAGGAAGGGAGCGTCTCAGCTTTCTCGGACCAAGACCATTCGACTCAGCACCCCGAAGACTACAACTGGTGAAATTTTAATTTTTGCCTTAACTTCCCCTTTAAGAGAGCATGTCTGAGAATACCAAAGTATGTGTGCAAGTGGATCTCTCCGATTTCGCTCAAAATTTGCAGGTAGGTTGCCTTTGGGGTGTGGATCGACTGTGCAAAGCCCTTGAAAAGGTTTCTGAAGGGAACCTTGAAATTTGCATACCCCTCAAAAATGGCCGAAATATCACATTATTTATGGGTCTAGAAACGAGGCACGCCACAGCGTATACGAACAAGCTATGAACAAAACTACATCAAGCCAACATTGCCTCACCTTAGAAGAGTTCCTGGAGCAGTACCGCTTAGCCACGCCAGCATCCCAGAAGACGAGGTCCATCACCCCCTGACGCCACAAATGATCGTCTTGAAAATAGCCAATTTACAAGCGCTGGCAAAACAGCCAGCTACGTCCTCAATTGGCCAGAACTATACACCGGCAGATAGTAGAACACCTCTTCTAGCGCTGAGGACATGTCTCCCATCTTCCTTTTGGGGTTTTATTGAAATAAACTTTTTTGAATTTTTCCACTCGACCATGCTGAAATACGGCCAAAGTCATACCTGCGCAGGAAAGCTCGCCCCTCCGCGACGTCTCCTCAGCAATTTCTACTCCAACACTACTCCCAAGGCCGCAGAACAAAGTATAGTGTTGACTCTGACAAGGAAAAGCAGCGGTGATCACTTGTCACTCCAAACGACAAGCTTCTCCTTGCGCCACCAATAATTTTTTGTGCGACTGTTGATGCAAAAGTGACTGAAAGCCTGAGCGCAGTTTTTGAATTTTATTGCAAGATGCACGGTGAGATCGCGTGCTCTGTGACGTAGGATGACGCTTCCTGCATCACGATACGCGGCCAACGATCGTGAAAGTGCCTGGAACGCTACTCGGAACAGACCATGATGGCAGAGGTAAGATGAGCTTTATTTCCTGCTTGAACTGCTGAGTACCCCAACAAACTGTCCTAGGAGTGTTGCAATGGCAGCAAGCCGTTGAAATATGCCCCGTACAGCATGGAGAGTTATTCGTCTTTCACACTTACCTCCTGCAATCCCGAACATAGTCCAACAGTAAAAGTCCCTTGTTTTCATGTCGATGCTCGACAAAAGCGGCTAGCTCGGTCCCTGTGTTGACTGGCACGCGAGTAGCACTGACTGCACGCACTTGTCGCGTGAACTGCATGAGAGATTTCTTACGTCATAAAGAATGTGATTTCATCATCATTTCACTGGTCTTCGACCTACATGGTCAGGGAAAGTCCCGGTTCATAGGCCTACAACACTCCCAGCGTGTTCTTGAGCGCAGTAACAACACAAGTGGGATGACTTCCAGACCAACGGGCGTTCAAGGTAAGGCGAGTAACAAGCGCACTTGACGAAGGTGACTCTGAAATCTCGTGAGCCGTGGGCCACGCGACTTGGCATTCTTGCGTCACAAGGCACGTGATTTCACCGTGCATCTTGCAATAAAATTCAAAAACTGCGCTCAGGCCTTCAGTCACTTTTGCATCAACAGT